AACATCCTTTACAGAGTTTTCAAAAATCAGAGGAGAAACAAACAGTTGGTATGATTCTAATAACAAATAGTGAATTTACGAATGCACCCACAGTATTGACTCCTAAAGCCTGTTACAGAATGCGTTACACAGAGGATTCTGCAGTTCCTGCTTGATGAGAAGAATGACGGCAGAACTATGTTCTCAACGCTGATTAAAAGTTCAATGCAAAATTAACATTAAAAATGAGATACAGAGGGGAGGGTGTAGCTTAAGTGGTAGAGCGCGTACTTAGCATGCACGAGGTCCTGGGTTCAATCCCCGGTCCTCCCTCCAAACATAAATAAACCTAATTACCTCCCCCCACCAAATAATGAAAATAAAGAAAAAAATTTTAATTAAAAAAGAAGACACACAGCTCAGTTGGTTTTGTCATCCAATCAGAAGAATGTAATAGGGATCTAAAGAAATTTAGGGATTAATATAATTGATTTTATGGTTGTGGGTACAAACTATTCTGAGGCACTAGAGTTTCTGAGTGTCAGCATTCTGGCCTCAAAAGAGTTAATGTACATTTATGATTTGCCATGTTATTCACTTCACCACCCCCTGTAATTCTGTTTGGCCAATCCTGACTAAACACCAGACAAAACAGAACAGAACAAACCAACCAACCTCTGGGTACCATTTACCAAAGTTGATATATTTATCAACATAATTATTTTTCATGAAGTGGCACACAAGTCTGCTTAAACATAAAATAGAAGATTTACAAAGGTGCCCTTAAAAAAAAAAAAGACACTAAAAGCATTTGCAGATTTGCACATGGCATTTACTGATCTAATTTCAAACATCATTGGCAACCTAGTTTTCTAGCCTATGTTCTATTAAATCCTGTCTTTAAAAAATAATAATAATCAGGTAAAAGAACAAATTAAAAATGGTATGAATATCGCTCCAGATTACCCCGAAGAGAAAGAACACAGTGTCGGCTCTCATTCAAGGAGCGCAGAGAGAGCTGTAAAAACCATATTTCCCAAGTTGTTATTGTTTGTGATGCACATTTAAGTGCACACAACATTTGCCTTTACGGCAGCTTTATTCTCAACACAGTCAATGGCAAAAGAGTTTCTGTACAATTGACTTTCTCATAAAACGGTTTAATTCCCTACTCATTTTGGCATAGGTTGTAGCTTGAGTTTCTTATATTCCAGCTTCTAGACCCTGAGTGTGTAAATTCTGCTGCTTCTCGTGACAGACCGACCCGGGGCCGGGCTGAGATGAATTTTTCTTTGTTATATGTACCCACATGAATCACAGCAGTTAGAAAGCTGTTTGGGGATGGGGCGGGGCGGGTGGTGATGGGGGAATTAAGACAAAACTCCCATCACAGTGAATAGCTAGGCATTATGTCAAAATTGAAAGTTTTATTCTATGCTAAGCAACACCATAAAGTATTTGATGCCAATAAACAAATTTCACAATATTCTGTATCTCCTGGTAGAGAATTTCTTCATAGTCAAATACATGTGAATGGAAATCATTAGAAAAAAATTATGTTCATCGATGTGTGCTTTATCTAGCATTCCAAAGTCATAAATCACTAAAGAAAATTCTTAGTGAATTCATGTCCATATTTGAGTTAGCAATAGTAAATGCTGAGCCTACTACGAAGGCATTTAAATATTTAATGCAAATAATAAAAAGAAGATATATTGATATTGGTAGAGCTAAAGCTATAAATTAGATATATGTGTTGATATAGAGACAGAAATATAGATACAGATGCTTTTAATCTGGACTCAAATCTTAATTTTAAAACAATGAATAGATACACAGAGTCCTATCTGTTTCACATATTGAATTTATCAGATTTATGTGTGGCACTTATATTCAAGCCTCTGTATTCACCACCATGGCCAAGAAGGTAAGTTCGTAAAGACCTGCAGATATTTTAAAAATTAATTTTAAGGCACTAAAAATCTTTCAAAGCAGAAGGTAACAAACCTTTATTGATAAGATCCAGATAAAACATTTTTTAGCCTCTGCAGGCCATGCTGTCTCTGTTGTAAAGATTCAACTCTCTTTTTGTATCTCAATAGCACCAGGGCCCTAAACTACCAGTGGGACCATGTTCCAATTAAACTTTGCCTAAAAAAAATAAGCAGGGACCTGGACTTGGCCTATAGGTTCTTGTTTACTGATTTCTACCCCAAGATTTTCATAATCACTTTATGTTAGATCTAAATGTAGCATTGTTTTTAAGGAGGAAAACTTATTTCTGTAATTTTTGTTTTGATTTTTTTCATTTGAAAATATCTAATTAAGTATAAGTTTATTGCAGTTCTTGAACATAATATTTTGACTTGCTTCTTCCTTTGGGCCATTATTGGGAAGAATACAAATTGTTGAAATTCCGCAGAAAATATAATCCACAATCACAAGAATTAACTTTAGCCATCTCAGTTATCAGGTCTTCAGGTATCCAGAATCTCTTTTATGACCAAAATTTGGCTAACTGCACACTAATAAGACAAGCAATTTATTGTTTTATTCTATATTATTCACTTCCCTTCTTCTGAAATAAAGTCTTTTTTCTGAGTTATATTTTAGACAAAACACCAAAACAAATAAACAAACAGAAGACCCACACATTCTGGGACCTGGGCAATGTGCTAACCCCTGGTAACTCACCCAGGTTATATGAATTAAATTGTAATACTACATATGATGGGAAAGCACTTTGAAGCAATCATAGATCTAATAAATAGGCTTAGTACAAGTCTGAAAAGCAAAGGTGTTTCAAACCACTGTTTCACGAAGTAACTCACCAGGAAGGCAACCTTCCTAGCTATATCCAGTTCATCTGTTTCTGTGCAGATTGACATCTTAAGTTGCATTATGCTAAACCTCCAGCAATAACGCAGAACGTTAAATACACCAGATATTTTTCCCCTTACATGATATTTAATAGCATATGTTTCTGTGTGATCAATTGCTGGTTGTCAGCTGGGCAAAACCTCAACATTAAAATATGATTCTAAATGGACTTACTAGCATTAAGTTTACATTATTATTATTTATATAGTTCTGTGATAGCATGCATTTGTGGAACAGTAAAATTCTCACTATACCATCTCAGGTCAGAATCATAGAAAGATACATGCTTCTATGAGTATTAATGCACAATGATCATAGAATCAATGTTAGCCATTTATAAAATAGATTAGATGGAAGATGATAATGAACCGAACTTGAAACCAAAGAAACTGCTATTCTTTCTGTAAAAGAAGACAATCTGATATCATCAAATTCTCAGTGTATGTATTCAAGGTGCAGAGAGTTCACTAGGGTAAGGAAGTTCTTATAATTTATCTAAATTGTATCAAGGGCTTCTAGTAGCTACAATGACTACAGCGCATTTCATCTTGTACCATTTGAAAAGCTCTGTGTATTTTTTTTTTTACCTTGGGAGTAATACTTTATTGATTCTACCAACTTTGAAAAAAAAATTTAGTCATTTGAACTTAATTGGAGGGCAAATGAACAACATTATACATTACCATAAATCTAAGCTAAGAATTAAAACATTACACAAACTTTTAAGGGTAAATATACTTCAGAAACAGTCTGAGAACTTGGAGGTGGAACCAATTAAAGATTAGAAATCACATATTGATCACTGACCTATTTGAATGATGGAAATTGTATATGTTGAAAATGTTAGAATTTCAGTCTGGATGATTGTAACAGAAAAGGACAAATCTGATTCCATATGAGATCTGTTCCTTTGACTTCAACCCCGTGCTCTGTTCCCTAGGCTTAGTCTTACTGGTTTTGCACCTTTTGTAAAAGAATGGTGCCTAGAGCCTGAAATACACAGGAGAGCCCATCCTCAAGGTTCTGATCTTTAAGGATATTAACACTTTTCCATTCCTATAGAGATAAACGGTGCAGAATAGAAAATAACATTTGTTTTGTTGAAGATTTACAAGGACACCATGATCTAACCCATGTGGACAGCTACAAGAACAAAGGATTCCAAGAACAAAGAATTCCCACACCAAGAAATTTGCAACAACCAAGCATTCCCCCTCCTCTTTTTAGTATAAAGGGAGCCTGAATTCTGACTTGGGGAAGTTGGTTCTCCAGGACATTAGTCTGCCATCTTCTCGGTCTGCTGGCTTTCCGAATAAAGTCACTATTCCTTGCCCCAACACCTTGTCTTGAGATTTATTGGCCTGTTGTGTGGCAAGCTGAACAAGTTTGTAGTTGGTAACATTGTGACTATTAATAAGCAAATATTCTCTCCAGTATGAATAAATAAACAAGAAATAAACTTATAAATAATTAAGTGGCATTAAAAATGTTCAATGATTTATTTATCTAGCATGTTAAAATAATTTGTCAAATAACTAATTCAGCAGTAGTTTTCCATAAGAGTTCCCGATGATTCGGGGTACCTTGAAAATAAATACCAATAACTTTTAAATTTTAAATAATTGTCATCTCGGATTTACTAATTGGGTTTAGCATGAGTTTATCACAGTTATTTCTGTGTGTATTTCCAGGTTGCATATAATTTGAATTATGTGGGGCAAACTGAAGCCATCGTTTTTAATCAGGAAGAAATGGGATGTTATCACAGCATGGCTTGGCATTCATTCTTCCCTCAATTTTACTCCAGGTACATTTCACTGGGTGGATTTGGCCTGGGGACTGAATTGGCCACTTGGTGTCCCTAAGAAAAGCACCCTGATTGGGAAGCCATATGGTGCAATGCTATAAGCTGTATCACACCGTGAGTCATATTTTGGCCGGCTTTGTTCTCACAGCTCAGAATTGTATCTGTGTAAATTTCTACACACTCACTGCTTGTAGGTGTCATTAGGCTCACATTTTCTTTCTCTTTTTAAACACTTGCCATAAAAAAGTGTTGCTAGAGTTTAAACTGAAAGGCATCAGTTGAGAAGAGGAAAGAAATAGAGAAAGGGGGCACGTTAGGCTCACCCCGCATTTACCTTTGAAGAAGCAGTCTTCGTTGTGAACAATGGTAATCTTGTGCTTTTTCAGGCAGGCTGCTCTGTGCACTGCACAGTGGTTTTCATAGAATTCTCCATCAGATCCACACACAGGTTTGTAGTGCCGATTGCAAAGGTCCACGCAGGCGCATTCCGCCTGCCCTGTCTCTCTGCTGAGAACGCAATGCCTTCCCAAACCACAGTATTTGTTTTCACAAGATCCCCAAGGGCCATCCTGAATCAGGAATCCTGAGGACAAAGAACAGAAAATCATTTGGATTCTTATGTCCAAGTTATACACTGCTGTCAACGCTTCAAATGAAAAGAACAAAAAAAAAAAAAGTCCAAGAAAAATATAATATAATCAGGGTTCCATTGCGTTTAGCAGAGGAGGGACTTGTGGCAGAACTAGCAGATGAACTTTTTACAAAATACCCTTGACATTTTCCCTTTCTTTCCTCCTCCTTGAGCTCTCACCTCCCAACCCAATGAGGAATATGGTCTGTAAGGACAAGGGCTGAAAAGTCAAACTGCCTCAAACCAAATTCTCTATCACTTACTAGCTTTATGTCTTTGAATAAATTGTTTCTATTTGCCACATTGTACCACCTTCAATATGGGGTTAAGAGTATAGACCATCTCCTAGAAGTGTAGCAAACATTGCATGTACTAAACCTCAGAAAGCACAGCCCTGGCACACAGTAAATGTTTAACAAACGTCACATTTCACATTCACAGCATTCCAATAGGAGAAAGGAAATGTACGTATTGAAGGCAGGAAATAAGGGGGAATAGGAGTGAAAAACAGTGTCTTGAAAACTTCTTGTGAGGTTCGAACAGCAGATCCTTTCTTGTCTGACCTTTGCCACTTGGCAATCACGGATGCATTTCTTGAGCAAATGAACAAATCATGAAGAACCTGTCTTGTTATTCAGTCTAACAATCTCCATTGGCATCAGAAAAGTACAGGTGGATCAAACAGTCTTGTACTAAAATCAAACTAAGCGACTTCAGTCCTTTTGCTTTTATGGGTAAATTGGCTTTTCTTGTTTGAGAATGTTATCTAACTGAAAAGTAAAAACGTCTATATATAAATTTCTCTCTCATCATATATATTTATTTCTGTGTATATATATATATATATATATATATATCCAGGAATAATATGTACACATATATACATGCATATATATGTGCATACATACATTTACTATCAGTGACAATTATATATTGCAAAAAAAACAACTTTTGAGTGGTTATAAACTTAAATTATAGTAACTTTATTGGATGCTTAGAGTATATTTTCAGATGATTGGTTTAAAAGCCATCTCTCTACATGACTGCATCATAATGATTGAGAGTATGGATTCTGATCCCAGATTTTAAATCACAGCTCCAACAGTTGCAAACTTCAGAACTTTGGGTGGGTACCTAACCATCTGTAACTCAGTTTCCTCATCTGTAAAAGGAGGATAATTGTATATCCTTGGAGGTTTACTAAGATTAAAGGGCTTGAGAGAGAGAGAGAGATCAAGATGGTGGAGGAGGAAGAGACAAGGCTCACCACCCCTCACAAACACGTCAAAACTATAAATGCACATAGAGTGACTTTTGCTGAAATCTACCTGGGATGAACAAAACAGCTTTTCTACAACCAAGGCTATAACTAAAGGTTCACATGGAGTCTGATAGGAAGGAAGAAGGGGTCAGGCACAGACCTGCATCCCTGGTGGAGGACATAGAAAAGGAGGGGATACACAGGCTTGGGAATCCTCCCTGGGGAGCAAGGGATTCAAGCTACATGTTAGATACCACAACCTGTGGGTCCAACACCGGAAAAGTGAGTTCTCTTAGCTGGTTTGAAAATGAGCTTCTTGGAAGGCTATAAGGAACCGAGTCTCCAGGCTTAAAGAGCACAGACACAGACTTAATTCTATTCACATCACAGAGGCAGCAGATTGAAACTCCCCGGGGCCCTGGCCAGGCTGCCAGCACTTCCCCAGCACACCCTCAGCCTGCATACGCTCCTGCTCCAGCCCGTCATGCTCCGGTGCTACTACACCCACTACTATGGAGGCTGTCATTGCCAATGGGAGTGTGCACACTTGGAGGGGATGGGGCCAGCTCAGACCCCAGCCCTGCTCTGACCAGGGCAGATGCAGTCATTGCCAGCTCATGAGTTCCTGTGCATACCTGAGTTGGGGTAGGGCCAGCTCACTGGTGCGGCACTGCGTCTGCAGCCCCTACACAAAGCATGTGCACCTGGGGCAAATGTGAAAGCAGCACAGAAGTGCAGCCCCAAGCACTCAGGCGCTCTGCCCCTGCCCTAGTTAGGGCAGTAAGGTCTACTGAGCATAGAAGCAGCCCTGGCTCTGGCTCTGGCCCCACCAACTCCAGCCCGACCTCCCAGCAACACACCAAATCCAGGGGACGATGCAACCTGTGCTTACTTCAGACCTCGCACTCCCACCAGAGCCACAGAACATACCCGACTGAATAGCGATGCTCCCACGCAAGGACACTCCCTCAAGATTGGGATGGGTAATCTAACTAGTTCCACCAAATTTTACAGAGACAAATTTAAACAAAAATGGGAAGAAAGGAACGCTTCAAATGAAAGAATAATAACAACAAAAACCCCAAAATACCCTAAAGAAATAGAGAAATGTAATTTACTGATAGAGTTTGAAGCAACAGTAACAAGAAGGCTAACTGAACTGGGGAAAACATAGATGAACAAAGTAAAATTTTAACAAAGAACTGGAACATACAAAAAAAAAACCAGTGAGAACTCAAGAATTCAATAAATAAAACAAAAGACACAATAGAGGGAATTAACAGCAGACGAGGTGATAAGAACGCATAAGTGAGCTGGAAAGTAGAATAATGGAAATCACTCAATAGGAGCAGCAAAGAGAAAACTTTTTTTTTTAATGAGCGTAGTTTAAAGGACCTCTGGGACAGCATGAGGTGCACGAACATTTATATTATAAGGGGCTGAGAAAGAAAAGAGAGAAAGGATAGAAATATATTTGATCAGATTATGGCTGAAAACTTCCTGAAACTTAAGAAGGAAACAGGTATCCAGAGGGTCACAAACAACATGAACTCACGTATCATAATTAAAATGGCAAAAGTTAAAGACAAAAAGAGAATGCTTCAGGCAGCAAGAGGAAAAACAGAGTCACTCACCAGGGAACCCCCATAAGGCTATCAGCTCACTTCTCTGCAGAAACTTTGCTGGTCAGGAGGGATTAACATGATATATTTAAAATAATGAAAGATAAAAGCTGTAACCTAGGAAACTCTACCTAGAAAATTTATCATTTAGAATTGAAGGATAAAGAGCTTCCAGATAAGCAAAATCTTAGTTAATTGATATTAAATTGACCTTACAAGCAGTGTTAAAAAGTCTGTTAAGTGAAAAAGAAAAGGCTACAATAAGAAATAAGAAATTATAGCGTACAAAAAAATTCCACTAGTAAAGGCAAGTATATTGTAAAGGCTGTGAATCAGTTACTTAAATAAGCTGTTATGAAGATTAAAAGACAAAAAATTATCAAATCAACTATAGCTGCAATCAGTAGTTAAGAGATAGACATTATAATGTAAAATATGACCTCAAACCATAAACTATGACCATAGAACATGGTTTGGTGAGTAAAAAAAAACACATAGGTTTTAGAATGTGTTTTTACTTAAATGATTATCAGGTTAAATCAAGTAGATACAGGCCAACAGATATGAATGCCATGGTAACCATAAATCAAAAACCTACAATGGGTATAGAAAAACTAGAGAGAAAGAAATGCAAGCACAACTCTGAAGAAAATCATCAAACCACAAAGAAAAAACTAAAAATTAAAAAAAAAGTAGAAAATAAAAACCCCAGAAAATAACAAAATGGCAATAAGTATACATCTAGCAATGATCACTTTAAATGTCAATGGACTAAATACTCCAATCAAAAGACATAGGCTGGCTAACTGGATAGAAAACAAATGAACAAAAAACAAGACCCATCTATATGCTGCTTTCAGGAGAACCACCTTAGAGCTAAAGACACACGGACTGAAAGTGAGGGGATGGAAAAATACATTCCATGGGAAAATGTAAGCTGGGTAGACTTTTTGTTTTAAAGTCGATTTTAAAGCAAAGTATAAAATAAAGGACAAAGAAGGACATTATGTCATGATAATAAGATCAATAAAATAAGAGGATATAACGTTTATAAACATATATGCACCTAATATAGGAGTACTTAAATACATAAGGCATAAAGGGAGAAATTGACAATAATACAATTGTAATAGGGGACTTTAAAATCACACTTACATCAATGGATAGATCATCCAGACAAAATTAATAAGGAAACAATGGCCTTAAATGACAGATGGAGTTAGTAGATATACGTAGTGCATTACAGCCCAGAACAGCAGAATACATTCTTTTCCAGGACACATGAAACATTCTCAGGATAGATCACATGCGAGGCCATAAAACAAGTCTAAACAAATTTAAGAGGATAGAAATTCTATCTAGCATCTTTTCCAACCACAAATGTATGAAACAAAAAACGAATTACAGGAAGAAAAATGAGAAACATACAAGCACATGGAGAATAAACATCATGCTACTAAAAAACCAGTGGGTCAACAAAGGTTATCAAAAAGGAAATTAGAAAATACCTTGATACAAATAAAAATAAAAATACAACTCTTCAAAATATACAGAACACAGCAAAAACAGTTCAGAGAGGGAAATTGATGATACAGGCCTATCTGGAAAAGAATAAAAATCTCAAATAAACAACCTAATATCTAAAGAAATTAGCAAAAGAAGAGCAAAGTCCAAATTCAACAGAAGAAAGGAAACAATAAAGATTAGAGAGAAAATAAATGGAGACTTAAAAAAAAAAGAAAAGTCAGTGAAACCAAGGGCTGTTTCAAATAAATAAATAAACAAACAAACAAATAAATAAATGCCTTTAGCCAGACTTAATAATACAAAAAGAATACCCACATAAACAAAATAAAAATGGAAGGTGATAAATTACATCTGATCACAGAAATACAATCATAAGAGAACATTATGAACAATGATATTCCAGAAATTGTACATCTGGAAGAAATGGATAAATTCTTAGAAACATATATATCAAGACTGAATAAGAAGCAATAGATAATCTGAACAGACTGATTTCTAGTATTGAAATTGAGTCAGTGACCAATAAACTGCTGACAAACCAA